AGAGAGAGAGAGAGAGAGAGAGAGAGAGAGAGAGAGAGAGAGAGAGAGAGAGAGAGAGAGAGAGTTATTTTTAATGATAATAATAATTTTAAAAAAATAAAAATAAAAATAAAAATAAATATATTAAGAGTAAAATGATCTTTGGACAAAACAAACTTTTTCAATCCAAAAATTCAGTGGTTTGAATTTTTTTTATTTTCTAAAAACTTAACCATTTTTGCATGTTTATCAATTGTATAAAAATTGTAAAATTCCTCAATATCCAAGAGGGTAATGGCAGACTGGTGTCAGAACCCCACAACCCAATCACAACTACCAAAACCTCCCCAATAAAAACTCTCGCTTTCAACACTACTAAATACTTCATTCCCTCCATTTAATCTTTCGATTAACATGACCACCTCCACCACCACCTCCATTACCTCTGTGTTCATCATCATCCTCCTCCTCCTATCCACCGACGCCACTACCACCACCCTCGACTCCGATGTCTCCGCCCTCAAAGCCATAAAAGCCGCCATCGATCCCACCACCATCCCTTCTTACTCTTGCTTAGCCTCTTGGAATTTCACCTCTGATCCTTGCTCCTACCATCACGTCGACCACTTCCTCTGCGGCCTCTCCTGCTCCGGCAACCGAGTCACCCAACTCACCTTCGATCGCGCCGGTTACGTCGGAACTCTCTCCCCACTCGTTTCCAAACTCACCCAACTCATCACAATCGACATCTCTGACAACAAATTCTCCGGCCCAATCCCCAGTTCCCTCTTCTCTCTCCCCAACCTCCAAACACTTAACCTCCGATCTAATTCCTTCTCCGGCACCATCCCATCAGACATTTCAAATCTCAAATCAATCCAAGCCCTAGACATCTCTCACAATTCACTATCCGGGTCGTTGCCAAACACATTGAGTTCACTCCCTTTGACGCGTCTTGACCTCAGTTTCAATAACCTCACCGGACCAATCCCTAAACTCCCCAAAAACCTACTCGAACTCGCAATTAAATCCAACTCGCTATCTGGGTTCCTACCAAAACCATCATTTAGCGACCTGACCCAACTGGAAGTTGTGGAACTCAGTGATAACTCGCTCACCGGAGCAATCCCCGGCTGGTTCTTGCTCCAACAATCTCTTCAGCAAGTCAATCTAGCCAATAACGGATTCACAGGTATCGAGATCTCAAAACCCATTAATAGCAATCTCATCGCCGTCGATATCGGGTACAACAAAATCGTCGGGTACCTACCGGTGAACTTGTCGGCGTATCCGGTGTTGTCGTCTTTGTCACTCCGATATAATCAGCTACATGGACCGATTCCGCCGGAGTTCAGCCAAAAGGCGACGTTGAAGAGGTTGTTTTTGGACGGAAATTACCTAAGCGGATTGCCACCGAAGGAGTTTTTCTCGAAAAAATCGTCGGTTTCAGGGAGCTTAGGTGACAATTGCCTGAAGAATTGTCCGATATCTTCGCAGCTTTGCTTGAAATCGCAGAAACCATCGTCGATTTGCCAGCAAGCATATGGTGGGAAAGGGAAACAAAAGTCATAGTGTCAGTCCATGTTTTCTGTTTCCTTTTTAGTTTATTAACTTTTAGTGGTAGAATTAAATAAAGTTTATATTTGTACCACACCACTCTATTTTATTGTATCCTATATAGTATATATCTTTTACCTTTGTTTTTTACTATTAAATTTCGAATGCTATTTAACATAATAAGAATAATTTTTTTATAAATGTAATTAAGTACAAAAACAATTGATTTAGTTAAAAAAAAAAACTGAAATATCGTTTCTGTCTTTTCTTGTACACTAAGGCACTTAGGCACATGGTATGCAAAAGAGAATTTGACACCTTTCTTGTCCTTAAAAGGGCCTAATGAGTATTGATTGACACAAGTCAAAAACAAAAAGGCCGAATGTAATAGAAAAGTTAAAAACTACAGTAGTTTGCTGGTCTTTTTAGGTTTAAGTTTTAACATTGAGAGTTTTTCTTTTCAAAAAAATTATTATGAAATTTTCTGATAATGAATTGTAAAAAACATAGCGAACAAATTTTTTTTTGGCTAAAAGGTTTCAATAAAAATATTTAAAATTTTAAGAAAAAATTATAAAAATAGTCAAATTTGTTAATTGCTAGGCCAAAAATTACGGTTTTTCTAAAACTAACCAACAAAACCACGAAATAGGCAAACATACGTCCGGTTTCGTCAAGTAATCTACGGAATCATCTTACCATATACGATTTCATACTTTGCTATAAAAAATTGGTTGACCATTTCTTCCAAACACAAAATCACAGATGGCATAAGGCCATCTACGTTTCCTTTCATCTCATTTGTGAGTTCAACATTCTTTTTAATATGATATTATGACTATGAATCCATACAAAAAACTATCACAAGATACCAGATAAGAACAAAACATGAAAAAAATAATACAAAATCAAAAAAAAAAAAATGAATGAAAGCACAAATGGCATGATCATCTGCGAATACACAAGTTGTTAATGCACATTATGTGCATTAAAACATGTATGACCGCAGATGACGACATTTGTGCTTTTTTTCTTTTTTTTAGAGTTTCAAATAAAAAGCATAAAAAATACTACTACATTTCAACCTATATTATTAAAAACAAACACCAAAGCTATATATAATATTATTTATAACATTGTTAATCAGGACCTCGTCATTGAGAATTTTTGTATCTTTGAATTTGAAAATGAGGTTGAACTTTTTAGGGAAATCTGCGAAAAAAATTCCTTATATTTTGACTCTAATGATTAAAAAACCACCTTTATTTATTTATTTTTTTCAATGTAACCATTAAAATCGGTAAACACTTGCAAAACAGCCTTTGAACTGTTTAGTGTTGGTTTTAAGGGTTAAATTGCAAAAAAATAAAATAAAATAATGGATAACTTTTTCGTTAATAAAGTTAAAATTTAAGGAAAGAGATTTTTTTTATGTATATACTAAATTTATTTGAAGAAAACTTATATTTATTTATTAAAAAACTCAAAATAAATAATTTTTTTTATTAAAAAGCACAATAATTATAACTTATATATCATTTTTGGAATTTTTTGTGATTCTCTTTAATAAATATTATTACTATAATCATAAAGATATCATCTATATAATATTAGATAACTTAAGAGGACTTTGTTGAATTGTTGCAACAAGTGCATTTTTAGACCAAATGTTATTTTCATTGTTGAATTTTTATATTATGGGTATAAAATATTTACTATAAAACTACAACTTATCGAATATCCTTTCACAAAACTACAACTTACCAAATATCCTTCCACAATCGAACGGTACCTCATAAAATAAAGGCTTATCAAAGGTTGTTATTCATAAATAGAACTCCATTATACATACTATGCGACCTAGAAGTACACTTCTTATGATAAATCAATAAAAGTATGTTTTTATGTTCATTAATGTCTCATATTTGTCAAAAAAATTCATTCTAGCTTGAGGTTTTACACCCTTTAATTTGATAACCATTGTCATAAAAACCCTTATATTTACACATCACCACCACCACTCCTCATTGCCACCAACAACACAATCTTCACCATAAAACATCGATACCCCATGGTTTTTTTTTAACTTTGTTTTTCATTTTTTATATACTTTATTTATTTTTGTTTTTAACTTTATTTTCATTATATATATACACTTTATTTATTTTTGTTATACTCTAATATGTTCATACATTTTACAGTTTTCATATTTTTTTTTAGTTTTTTTTTCATATTTGTTTTCATATTATTTTTTAATTTTTTTGTATTTTTAATTTTTTTTCATTTTTCTCGGTAATATTTGTTTTTACTTTTTCGTATTTTTATCTGTTCTTGACATTTTTCAAAAAGTGTAAAATGTATTAACACATTAGAGTATCTTACAATTTTGGTATTTTATAGTTTTTGTAATTTGTTTATTTTTATTCAACTAAATAAAATAGTTATATTTATATTTATATTTTCGGTCCAACTTATTTTCTTTAAATTTTTTAATTCTTTAATGCTATCACATTTATGTTATGAAAAAATGAAAAGTAAAAAATTCAAACAGTTTCTTTATTGAAAATTAATGTTTCAATGTGTATTTATAATTATTAAAATAAGAAAAAAATACTAAAATTTTATAATATAACTTGAAAAAATAAATTATATTTCTATATGTAATGTCAATAGCTTAAATTCAAGAAAATATTTTTTAATTTGATAATGGATTAAAAGAAAGAAAAAAAGAAATAATAAAAGTTTATCTCTATAAAAAATTGTTTAAATATTTTAAATTGAATTCTAGTTTATTTACTTGAAGCAAAATAAATAAAAACATTAGGAAAACCATAAATAACTAAAAATTGAAAAGAAAAATAGAAAACAAATGGTCAAAAAGGTAAAAAAAAAAAATCAAATTGTTGAAAAATAAAGTTAAA